ACAAGAGGTACGAAGCTCTTTGCGTGGGATGGAATAGCCCCATGCATCAGTACACAACAAGCACTGACTGCCTGAGTAGCAGCTTTGCTGAAAAGGACAGCAAAGGGGTTATGTTGAATGGCAACCTTAATATAAGCCAAAAGTGCACTATCATTGCAAATAGGGCAAAGCAGGCACTCAGCTGCATTAGGAGAAGCACAGCTGACACTGAAGTAGGTTATTATCCCCCTCTACTTGGCATGGGTGAGGCTGTACCCGGAACAGTATTCAACTTTGGGCCCCCGCCGATCAAGAGGAATATGGAGAAACTGAAGATGGTTCATCGAAGCGATGGGCAGGAACTTAGATTACATACCCAAGCCACGATCTGTGACTGCTGCTGCTTGTTATATTCCCTGGCACTACCAAGAGGAGCTTGGTCCTATAACCTTTGTACCTTCTCTTTCATTAGCTATCAGATTAGATTCATCTGCTATTAGATCACCCATTAGCCTCCTCAACAACCTTTACCAGTTCTGGCTCTCCTGTAGTGCATGTCTTGGGGGATTAGGAAAAACATTTTAACTAGAAAAGCAATGCGGAACAGGAACAGGTTACCCAGCGAGGCCATGGGATTTCCATTCTTGGAAGTTTTCAAGACTTGACTAGACAAAGCCACAGCTGATCTGATCCAATATTGGTGGCAATCCCATTCAAAGCAGAAGCTGGATGAGGTGACTTCCAGAAGTCCAATCCAACCAACATTTCTGTGACTTTGAATAGAAGCTTGACTACACAATTTATTCTTGATTGACTAAGATCCCCCACTGATTGATTACTTCTTCTTTGAACTTGTTTGTACAAGCACAAAGAATAATAAATTATTTGGTCTACAATCATATTTTTTTCTGTGAAGTAACATAACATTACGCATAGACATCTCAAGTTCTACACTGCAAATCTAGTGACCTCCTACCATGTGGACTTTCTTTGCTATCTGCAACAGACATCACCTTTACTTCATCCAAAACCAGTGCCAGTTCTCCTCTGTATTCCTACACATCCTAGGGTAGCATCTGAAGTTTATGATAGTCAGGTCTGTGTTGGTATGTCTCTTCATGCTTGTATCAGACTTGCTGGAAAATAAAACAATACGTTCAAGGTCCAACTTAAAAAAAACTGCCAGTCCAAATACAGGAACAAATAAGTGTCTCCATATTGCTCATGTGCTAATTTACTGGAGCTAGAAAGAATCAAAAAAATGCTTCTTCCAATGACATCTGTGGGTAGGATGGAAAAATACATTTCATTATTTGAACCATTTTTGGTGAGTATTTTGAGTGTTAGGGGGAATTTGCCTTTGCTGTAATATAGAGATATGATGCAGGCTAAAATTTCATAGAAGCTTCCAAAGTTTAGTTGCCTGGCTCCTTTTATATTTCAAAATCTCGATGCTAAAATGTACTACAGTCTTTTTACTGTGTTATGGACCTGAGGTTTTGAATGCACTGAAATAGTGGATCTGAGCACATGTATCAAAAGCTTCCTTCAATTACGCTTGTGCATGTAAATGCAGCAGTGCCCTTTGCACAGTACTGGCACACTCGCACAACTCTGAGGGATTGATTAAGTGCTAATAATCTGCTTCTTTGGCTCGTCCTTCCACCCAGCTTCTCACAACCCCTCCTCTGTTTCCACTGACAGCTGTTGAAGTGGTAAATATCATCTCTGTGCTTGAGCAACATGGACATGGGATTCAAAGAGATCTCAGACTGTGCATTTGAGCAGGGAAGTGCCTGTGCTAGCTCCCTCTACCTTTTTTTTTTCTCCCATGGTGGACCTATACAGCTTGCTGATGACTGCTGTCTTCCTGTATCACTATTGAGATTTTATCTTCTTATTATTGATACCAGTGAACGCTTTCTTCTGACTTTCAAAAAGCAACTGTCAGAGGATAATTCAGCTCTTGAAAATGTTGTGAGGTGGAGATGGCTGTAACCCTATCTGGAGGGTGGGCGTCAGGGAGTAGCTGGAAACAGAGCATAGGACATGGGGGAATGGTGTAGGAGGAAGTCTTAAAATGGACAGTTTTAAAGACGGGTCAAAATAATATTTTTTAGCATATGAGTCCTCATTATGTTAAACGGGGAGGCTGGTATCAAATCTTTGTTGATGTTTTATTTCTCTTAAGAGCTGGAGCTCATATTAGTATATCACTGTTACCAGTTTATAGTTTTCTGCAGCCATGGCTGTTTTTCCATGGTGCTGAAACGCTTGCCAGCTACCACTTTTGAAAGAAATATTAGCTCAGCTTTGGTTTTTAAAATTTAAGAAACAGTTTAAGCAAAGTATATTAGGCAATATTCCTGTTACCTATGCCTAAAAAAATTGAAATATTGACATATTTTCAGGCATCAGAGAGCTAGGATCCTTTGAGTGATTTTAACATTATGTGGTTTGGTTTTTGTTAAGTGGGAGCCAGAGGCATGTATCCATCTTCTACCGTAGAAGTATTGAGATGTACATACATCTTCTCTCATTTAAAAAAGTGCTCATATAACTTGTTTTACTTTCTAGTCAGAGCAGGCTAATGGTACATCACCTCTTCAGTGCTTCAGCCGAGTTGCTAAGCTACCATATGTCTATTGCTTCCAGTCATGTACCCTCATCCCACAAATATGAATGGTTAACACACCAAAACAACCTTGCCCCAAGAATGCAGAGCGTAAGTAGAAATTTTGAGGTGAGTGATGCCTGCGAGTGGGAGAGAAGTGTCCTTTTCTTTCCCTTGTTATAACAAATGTTGCATTTTTATGACCACATTCAGAGGAAAATCAAGCATGGAGCATTGTCTGGATAGCTTCTGGGTGAAGAGAGATAGTAAATGGAAAGATAATGGGGATGAGAACAGAGATAATATGCAAAGAAAGGGAGAAGCCAGAAGAGGGATAGACAGACAGACAGCTGGGGCAAATGGGGCAATATCCTCTGGAGGTAGCTTCTCTCTATTTTTGCCAGTCTCTCCTCTTTGCCAGCTCTAGATCCACCTAAGTAGGTGAAGGGGAGAGATCCAGAGATTCCAGCATGGAGGAGGTGATGAAGGAAAGGATACTGAGTAGCTGCTTCCCTGGGATAACTTGACGGTTACACGTTTCTGGCTGCAGGTGTAGAAAAATACCTTGTCTGGGGAGATGCTGCTCTCCCACGTCAGTCTTTATATAAATTTTCTCACTCTTACCGCATTGTAGCTATGTCCTTAGGGGTTAGGTATGCAAGTCCTGTCTGTGGCAAGAGTTAATGTATACTGGCCCAGGGATCAGTAACTAGATAATAAATCTTTTTGAATCCTGGTTTGCATTATGTCTTGATAGGAAAGTAAATCTCACCCTCTCAGCAGCAAGCTATTCTTTCATTGCAAGGATGTTGCTGGTGAATGATGTTTTCCAAACTGATAAATGTGGGATTTCTTGTGCCACAAGTTATTTTGTTTGTTTGGATGTTTATGTTTCAGCTTTATGAAGCAATCTGTCTGGGGAAAGGCCCAGAAATAATTGGCTGAGGCTTTTCTTCTGATATAGGTCTTTATAACCATAGATCTATAGCAAATCCAAATGTGAAAGTAAAATCATGCTTCACCCTGGTGCTGGGATGTTGAATACAGATAGTTGTGCTTCCCCATGCATGTTGTATTCCTGTATCTCTTTATAGCTGTTCATTTTAAAATCAGCTAATGCCTAGAAGATGAAAAAAGTTTGAGAGGCTGAAGAAAAAGACTCTTGTGTCAGATACAGACCCCTCCATAGCCTTCCTGGTAGTTGACTGGAAATGTTCATTCAAACAACTTCCTTGCAAACATTACTCTCAGGTGTAGTGACTGACTTTCCTATAGCCTGTACTTCAGGCTTCGTTCAGTATATTTGTTTTTCAATCCTCAGTTGCAATGCTTGAAGAGGAAGCAGCAAAATGACTTTTGTCCCTGTCTCTTCATATTCATTTGGCATTCTTTTCCTCCTTCTCAAGGGCTTTCCCTGGCAGACGGCACACAAGCTGACTTTCAGCTCCTGCCAGGTAAGCACAGGGACATCCCTCCGGATGGACTTTTAGGAGATTTATTGATGCCTTTGTGTCATTACCATTGTATGAGCCCCATTTCTTACAGGTTGCAACTTTGTCTCCTCTTGCTTTCCTTCATCTATTCTAAATACTGACTTATTTTTCTGCCCAACATCTTAATTCCTGATGGCGACAGGGCTTCTGCAATCAATTCTATCATCTTTTCCTTCCTGGAAATAAGATGATGAAGGCGGCTATTACCTGGGAAAAACTACTTTCTTTAGGACAACTTATTATGCCATTTGTGACTTTGGCTCCTCTGTTTTTGGTCCTTAGATGGTCTCCATTTCTTAAAAATTTTAAGAAGCTTAGAGGCTATAATGCAACCTTGCAAAAACACATCTTGCAAGTGGACAACTAAGGCATAGAAAAGTTAGCAATGCAAGGGAGATCTGGGAGAGAGAACCAAGAGGAAATAAGTATTCTCTTGCTTCCTTGTCCTTTTCCTATTTTGCCACATATACAAGGCAGAGCAACTTTGTGCCACAGAAGGGGCAAGAGTAAATCACAGTAAATCAGTCTGAAAAATAAAAAGCCATCAGTTCAGCTGCAGGAATTCTGTAAGATTGCTAGTACAGTTCTGTAAGATTGCTAATTAAAAATCAGTATTAAAATACTATTCTGAGAAGTTAAAGACGGGAAACAAATCTCTGGTAGCCCATCTGCTTTCCTGTAGCTACTAGTAGCTCGTGCTGCATCTGAATCTACTGTGCCGTGTGATGTTTCAGAGCGGCTCGGAATCAGCAGCCCGTCGACTTTCGGCAGCTCCTGAGCCCCATTGGCTGGAAGGCAAAGCAGAGGCGGAGAGTGCCCTGAATATTTTTCTCCTCCACACACCATAAAACAGGCAGCCGGCATGCACTGTCTGACAGCAAGACTGGTGCTTGCAGTTTGAAATTAGTTTCTGTTCTGCAGCAGTCACTTGGGCATTTTATGTTTGTCTCTCTTAATGGAAGTGAACAAAAAAGCCTTGCAGCGTATCAGTGAACTAAACAGGAACTGACCATAGTGGAGAATCTGATGCAAACTTACCGACTGTTCGGACTCTGTGACATAGATCACCAAGGTAAATGTGATGATGATCAGAAACTGCATCTGTGAGAGAGTAAACCAGTGTTTCTGAGTTTGAAACCTTATTTTGTAACAGCAGTCACAGTGTTCTGAACTACTGCCTGCCTCGGTGCTGGCTTATTTTTCTTTTCTTCCCAAGCTGAAAAGCCAAAGAAGGTTTTCAAAGGAATGCAAAAGGAACAGGAGTTTTAAAAGCAGGAAGCTGAAAGCGGATCTCCATAAGATGAATTTCACCCAGCACCGTGGGACGCTCCAGCCTCTCCATTTCTGGAACCACAGCTACAGACTGCACGGAGGTGCCAGCGAGCCCAATGCAAAGGGCCACTCTTCGGGAGGCTGCTACGAGCAACTCTTTGTATCCCCTGAAGTGTTTGTGACTCTGGGCATCATCAGCTTGCTGGAGAACGTCTTGGTCATTGTGGCAATAGCCAAGAACAAGAACCTCCATTCGCCTATGTACTTCTTCATCTGTAGCTTGGCAGTGGCTGACATGCTAGTGAGTGTATCTAATGGATCAGAAACTATTGTCATCACGCTGCTAAACAATACAGACACAGATGCACAGAGCTTTACCATAAACATTGACAATGTCATTGACTCAGTGATTTGCAGTTCCTTGCTTGCATCAATTTGCAGTCTCCTCTCAATAGCAGTGGACAGGTACTTTACTATCTTTTATGCCCTCCAGTACCATAATATCATGACGGTGAAGCGCGTAGGGGTCATCATCACATGCATCTGGGCTGCTTGCACAGTCTCAGGCATTTTGTTCATCATTTACTCTGACAGCAGTGTTGTCATCATCTGCCTTATTAGCATGTTCTTCACTATGCTCATTCTCATGGCATCCCTCTATGTCCATATGTTCATGATGGCTCGGATGCATATCAAAAAGATTGCTGTTCTTCCAGGGACTGGCCCTATTCGCCAAGGGGCCAACATGAAAGGGGCCATCACTCTCACCATCCTGATTGGAGTTTTTGTTGTGTGCTGGGCTCCATTTTTCCTGCACCTGATTTTCTACATCTCCTGCCCCTACAACCCTTACTGTGTGTGCTTCATGTCCCACTTTAACTTCTACCTCATCCTTATCATGTGCAATTCCATCATCGATCCACTCATCTATGCATTCCGGAGTCAGGAGCTCAGGAAAACATTCAAGGAGATTATATGCTGCTGTAGCCTGAGAGGGCTTTGTGATTTGCCTGGCAAATTTTAAACCGAGTGGATACGTTACTGTGTACACAATATGCAGCACAGACTTCCAAGCCTTCAGATCCTCTTTCTCAGCAGAATTTGGGTTAAATCTTTAAGACTGAGCACCTCTTTCTGTCTCCCCTCCCTCTCATCCTTGTATCCCATTCACGTGTCATTCATATTTCTGTATAATGTTTGTGATATCTACAGTTTGTAATTTATTTGGCTGGAAAGAGAAGTAGCACTTCATACCAATTTGTAAGTAAGCAAATAAATGTAATGATGAATGTGAAATACTAACAAACATGAGCAGCTGTATGTTCCAACTGCTGACAAAATAAATAACTTGCCTGACTTACAGTACATATTGGCTGATACTGTTCCTTATTCTGTTGAAGTAATTATAGCTATCCATTACATTATATACAGCTTAAAATAGAGCATATGCTTCTCTATTAGTGGATTAGATGTTCTCTGGAATTAGAAAGCAGATTTTTCATAAAGGTTACTGCAGCCAACGAGTTGTGTTCATTCATTTTGAACTCTTTTCTTCCTACTCCACAAGCAGCCATTCTGTTCTTCATTACAGTTATTGCCTACAACAAGATTTTCCAAACGCCTGCTACCCAGACAATCAAATGCTTGGGGTTTGTTTTTTTTTTTTTTTCATGATGATTGTTGTATGTCTGAGAGTACCTTTTTGCAAAGTTGAAATTGCTCCCTGGAGCATCAGTTAGCCTTGGATATATTTACCTAGACTGGCATCCAGGTAGACTAGCATCCTCCATTCAGCCATGAAGCAGGTACAGTATTAACATTGACAATGCCAGCACCAATGTAAAGATTCACTGAGAGATTTACCTAATGAAGATGAAGAAGGAACTTCAGTTTGAACATTCAGTCCTTCCTTGTTCTGAGGTGCTGTGGGGAAAAAGGACTCTGTGCTTCAGAAGAAAATACATCCTTGTTAGAAACAAGCTGCCCTCTATTCTGAAGTGTGGTGGTAGCAGATGGGATCCACTGCCAGGATCCTTATAGAGGAGTCAAGGCATGTGTTAATTTGGCTTGAGCACCTCAGACCGTACTGTGGAGCGTATGAGCTTTGCGGGGGCAATGCTATCACATAGAAGGGATGCTGGCCAACAAGTCTGTAAACCCATGCTCTGTATCTGGCAGCTCTGTGTGTTACTGCTGCTTGAAGTCCGATCACCTTTTCAGACATCTAATTGATGTGTTCTCAGTTTCATGCTAAAAAGCCACTCTCTCTCCACAGATCATAATAGGGACCTCAGGTCCCTGATTTTAGCACCTTTGGAAGCGTTTAAAGTATAAATGTGAGTATACAAGATTCCATGAAGATGTCCCTTAACACCTTGACAGTATCAGGTCTATGAAAGGACATAGAAAAATTAATTTATTTATTCCCGGAAACTATAAAAACATAGTGGTAACTGGTAGAAGACCTGGGAAGTTCTCATTTAAAAAGTCAAAACTGAATGTAAAGAATAATTTAGGTTTTAATCTTGGATGCCTGATTTTACCAAAATGAGTAGTGAATTATTTGGATGATCAGTCCTGTTAATTTTCTTGGAAACGGCTTGTTACCTCAAGCTGCTTATTCCCTCGTTAAAGAAAGACATATGATGAAAACCTATTCATGAGAGCCCAATGTTTGCCACCTGGGATTCTTCTCCAAATAGAAGCTGATCTTTCAGTTGTGGGTAACTTTTCAGGATGTCATAAAACTGTGACATTTGGTCCTGTGTCAAAAAGCGTGAAGGACTTAAGGTGGGTCTCAGTATCTTTAGGTTCAATTTACTTACAGGGAGAGTAAGAAAGTCATTTGACTTTGTGCATCAAAATCCCTTGGTAGATCAGCAGCAGAGAAATCAGGTTTCCTACACTCTACTGTTGTACCTGGGCCACTCCATCTACCACACTGCTTGCAACACACCCCTCTTATGTTCTCTCAGCTTTAGTAAATTATATTGCCACATCATAATGGTTGCTATGTGGAAGATGCTGAAATGTATCTACTATATTAAGTCTACTTATTTTCTTCTGGAGGAAAATATAAACATTTCAATAATACATCCCTACCAGGTTCCACTGGGTAGAGAATAAAAAATGCCAAAGAAGGAGGATTAAAGCTCAAAAGGAGAAAAAAATAAATGTATTTAAATTAATAGTCTATCCAAAAATCCAAAGGACTTTATTAGAGGCTTTCCCCTCTCCCACAAGACATGATGCTAGCTATGCAAAAATGCTCTGGCAATAACGCAAAAAATTGCTGATGCCAGTTTGAACAAGACAAAAATCTCACTTGATCTTTGTTTTGCCTCACTTTCTTTAGCTATTTTAGGTCTTAAATTATGATATTGGGCTCCAGATACTACCTTTATAGTCCATGGATGCAGAGAGGGTCCAGTGGAAAGTGGCGTAAGAGCGCAAGACACTACCTTAGGTACTCTGAGCATTGACTTGAAAGTCTCTCTTTCTCCCTTTAGTCTGTACAAGGACCTGGTGTACCTCAGAAGGACCTCAGAAAATGTACCTTTGGGGATGAAATCTTCATTGCTTGTCCAGAAATTACTTCAGATTTTAAATTAATATTCTGATCCCTTTGATCATATCTCAAGTATCCTAGGGTTTTCTCTTTGGATGAAACACATATTAAAAAAAGGAGACTTCATACGTCACAGGAACTGTCTACTGCTACTGCAGATACTCACTGTCATACAAGCCAGGTTATGAATTCAACATGCTTGGGTTTTTTTGTTTCAAATGGTTCTGTTGTCCTACTGTTTTTCATGTTTTTGCACGCTCTGTTCATAGAAGAAGAGATTTTCAGGTTTGTGGATTAAAAATCACCCCCTTTGAGTTTGTAACGTAAATGTATTCATCAGTTCTGCTTCTACCCATTTGCTCCCTTGCAAACATTGTTCATTTGTTTCAATTTCTCCTTCATACTTGGTGTATTTCCATATTTGTATATTTCTGGAGTGCCATCAGAGTTGTCCGAGTCATCACCTGCCTGTGTGGTGGGTTTGCCTTTGGCCAACAGCGAACCCACCCCCCAGCTGCTTGCTCACTCCCCACCTTCGTGGGACAAGGGGAGAAAACAGGAAGAACAGGAACGAGAAAGCTCGTGGGTCTGGATGAAGACAGGAATATCACTTACCAACTACCATCACAGGCGAAACAGATTTGGGGATAATGAACTTCATTTACAGCTAATTAAAATAAATACTTACTGATTCCGCTAGTGGAAACAAGAAGACAAACACTAGGGTAGCGTTTTGCCCTTTCTTGCCCGGGCTCTCCCCGAGGCACC